GGTTTTTTCAAAATTCCAATTTTTTGAATTTTTTTAAAAAAAATTTTTTCTTATAATTATTTTTTTCTCATCGTTATGCCATTAAATGACATTTTAACTGTTCAGAACATCAAAATTACGCGATTTATCAAAGTCAATTAAGATATAAATAAAAAAAAATTTTTGAGAAAAATTTTTTTTTTTTTTAACCAAACTTCAAAATTTGTATTTTTGAAAAAACAAAAACACAGTTACCAAAATTTCAGGATCTCTTAAAATTGGTACAAGGTAGTATAAAAAAAAAATTTGAGCAAAAAATTTATTGTCGACCGTCATTTTTGACGATTTTCAAAAATTCAAAATCTGACAAATTTGGCATTTTTCAAAATTTTTTGCCAAAATATTTTTTTTTCTATACCTCCAAGTGTCCCCTTTCAAACAAACGAAAGATCATTCCTGTATCTATACTAGCGTTCGAGATATTACAAAAAAAAAAATTGAAAAACTGGAAAAATCGCGAAATTTTGAGTTTGCACATCTTTTGAAAAAAATTTTTTTATTTTTTTTCCTTTGGCAGAACTCCGTTATATGATAAAAGAAAACTTCTGACCAAAATTCGTCCAAATCGAAAGGGGTCGATTCCAACTATTGGTCGATTTGACATGGAATGACCCATATGAATTTCGTATACGAATTGAACGGCCTCTTTCATTCCGATGCGTGAATCATGAAAAAAGAATCCATTAAGGAGTGAAGCAGTGGCTGTCTTTGAGCTGTATTTGGGTCATTCCATTCCAAATCGACAAATTTTTTACCTGACCACCTTCGATTCACTCAAAATTTTCTATCTTTTTCTACCCCCCAAAAGACATTTTTTGGAATTATTTCAAATTTTTTTTACCGAATCCAAAAAAAAGTGATGAATTTTTTTTAAAAATTGCTCTTTTTTTTTTTAAATCGTTAGAACTTTTTCAGAATTCACCAATTGGGACCACACTAAATAGACTTTTGTTTTTTAATGTAGTTCAAAATAATCGTCATTTTCTCGAAGTCCGACCACTTCTATTTTTTTTTTTTACTCAAAAAAAATCAAATAATTCTGCAAAAATCCGCGATAGTTTCAAGATGAGCCGACAATCGCTTCTAATTTTTTTTTTTTTTTAAAAAAATGTTTTCTTCAAATTTGGTTTATTTTATGTGACTTTATTATGAAATTTTGTTGGCTTCCTCGTGAAACTTCAGAAATTAAAAAATAAAATTTTATTTGAAAATTTTGAGTGGTTATCGTCCAAAAAATTGTTTTTTTTTTTTTCTTTTAAAAAAGTAAGGAATAAAGAGGAGGACGATCTGCACTCTAAAATAAATTTTTTTTTAAGGTTTTTTTTTTTTTAATTCCTAACTTCTTTTGGGTTGGGTAAAAAAATCTGAAATAATTCCTAAAAATGTCTTTTGGGAGGTAGAAAAAGATAGAAAACTTTGAGCAAAATTGAAGGGGGTCTGGTAAAAAATTTGTCGATTTAGCATCCAGTGACCCATGTACAAATGAATTTTTATACATATATCTAATCAAAGGACAGAAATTTTTTCGAATTGTCAGCCGAAAATAATTAATTATTACTAAACCAAACTATATTAATCTGCAATTTTTGTTCCATAAATTCCTATGGCAGATGAGAAAATTAAATAAAATAAAGTTAAAAAAATAATTTTTGCAAAAGCTATCACTCTTACAAAAGTTCTTCTTCAAAGAGACTTGAAAAATTTACACTATAAGCCATCAATGCCATTTTTTTAAAGTAAAAATATCAATTAACCAGGTTATAAAATTTTGATGTTTAGTAGTGGTTTTATTTTTTTTTTAAAGTGACATTTTTGTATTATTATTTCTATTTACAATATGACTATCATACTTTCAAAAGATGATGGTAATAGAGATAATAGAGCACTCCTTTGCGCTTGGGCTTAATATATGCAAAATGCGTGAAAACGTACCAATTAAATGAGAATTATTTCAGATCATATAAAACTACACAATGAAAAATTTTCAACTAATTCAACACAGAAATTTGTGTTAATGAATTTTTTTACACAAAGTTAGTGTTAATTTAACAGAATCTGTGTGAAATGATAAAGTGACTCAGCTTTATTTTTAAAATTACAAAGCTCTATTTTAAAAGTAATACAATTTTGTGTTAATGTTACATTGAAAAAATATCCCTTAAGTACTGAATATTATTTTTATGTGTTAAATTACGAAATTACATAATACATATATATTTTTGAACTTTTTTGAGTTACAAAATTTGTGCAAGAATTGATATGTGAATTAAAATTCTAATTCCGAAATAATGCATATATACAATCATAATCAATGATTTCTATAAATAGAATATCCGAATATTATCATTATAAACTATGTTACTTTATTAATAAGCATATTATTTAAAGAATCAAAAACATTTATATTGAATATACGACATTTAAATTCGATAAAAATTTGAAATAAGGTTAAGTGCTGGATATATATCTTTATCAAAATAGCAAGTAAAGTTATATTGAATCAATTATTACATGTAGCTTTAGATCACGAATAATATTTTATTCTGCTCATATTAAATTTATAATTTTAAAAATATCTAACGTTTTACTCGATGCCATAAATATAAGATCGATAGCGCATAAATGTGCTGAGCAAAAGGTTAACTTAAATTAAGAATATTATCTCTATGAATTTTTTTCAAATCAAATCGGTATCTTTATTCAATCAACGGAAATCGTTTTCGACAAAGAAATTGAATCGATATAAATGTAATTGAATTTTTTATAAGTATTTCCAATTTTTTAATGAAAATTTTCAATAAAAAGGAGATACTTTTTACGATTACGAATATTTATTTCATCTAAAAAATTCTCTTTAGCCGGGATTATCAATTAAGATCGATTTCTATCAAAGTGTTTATTTAATTTACAATTTAAAGTTGTTTTGAGATTTGCGAAAAACTACAATGATGATGTTGTTTCTATTAAAATGAATAAAAGTCACAAACTGATACAGCGCTAATTGAAAAGGATACATTCAAATTTCAAATCGTTTATTTATCTATAGTGCAAGTCGCGAAAATACCGGAGATCAAATCTTGAAATAAATCATACGACTCTTATTGCTCATGATGTAACTGTACTCTCTAAACATGAATAAGTGAATATTCACTTATTTAAGTGAGAATCGAGCCACTGACTTGAAAAAGAAAGTGGCTCGATTGGCACTTAAGTTAAGTGAATATTCACTTATTTGACGAATTTTCACTAATTCAGTTTTAGGGAGTAGCGTAACAGTAATTACTTGAAAGCACTGACCTATGTCGTAGTTTTTTATCGGCTACTAGCGATATTGAAACCAACAAAAAGTAATCGTTTATAAGAAAATTTTTTTTGTCGCAGTTCTCTTCATGGAAATGAAATTTCTACGATACCCGAAGGAACATTTGATGATCTGAAGGCAATAACGCATGTGTAAGTTATTTGTTTACTTAATAAATGAAAAAATTAAAATTAAAAAATATCTAATAAAAAATAAATTAACAGGGCATTGGGTTCGAACCCGCTCTACTGCGATTGTCACATGCGTTGGCTAGCAGAATGGGTGAAAAAAGACTCAGATGTTGAGCCTGGCATCGCACGATGTATGGAGCCGCTGGCGATGAAAGAAAAGTTGCTTTTGACAGCTCCTGCAAGCGCCTTTGTTTGCAAAAGTAAGTATCAAATCAACGTGCCTAAGAAAAATTTAGACCGTAATAAAAATACGGAAAAAAAAATTTTAAGTTGAAAGTTAGAGAAATCCGTCTATTTAGTTTGATTTTTTTGGTTCAAACCCTCGGAACGGTACTAAAATTGCTTAATAATCGTAGACATTTCTTCCGTGCAGCCAAACAACAACCTGCCGAGGTCTTGGCCAAGTGCGATGTGTGTTACACCTACCCATGTCAAAACAGTGGATTATGCGAGGCACTACAGGACAGGGAATTCTATTGCAAGTGCTCGCCAGGATATCACGGGGACCGGTGTCAACATAAAATTGACGCGTGCTATGGAAATCCTTGCCGGAACGCCGGAACTTGTAAAGTACTGGAAGAAGGAAGATTCAGGTAGACAAATACTTGACATTTATTGTTTGAATCTATGAGCAATAGGGTAGCGCAAAAAATTACTATTTTTTCGTCTCCGCTAAAATATCCTAAATGCCAATAGTGCATTTAAAATATTTTAGGATAAGAAAATCGATCATAGAGATCCCCAAAATTGAAAAAAAAAAAAAAAAATTTTTTTTTCGAAATATTTTTCAAATTAAAAAAAGTAGATTTTAAAATCATTATTTTTAGGTTCAAAAATTTTTTTTTTAACAAAGAAAATTATTTTAACATGGCCAAAAATCAACTTGAACATAATTTTGAATGGTAAAGTTCAAATACTTCTTGACTTTTTCTACTTTTTTTTTTAAACATTTTGTCTTTTCATAATTGTTACAAAAGTAAGTTATAAAGTAGAATATTAAAAACAAATTTATACTCCCTTTTAGCCGCAGATTATGAAATTTATAAATTTCTAATGGTGTATAAATTTGATACATTCGCCGTTTTGGCTTTGGAAAAATTTTGTTTGATTCTAAAGCTTAGAATATGATCGTAAAAAAAATTTTCTTGTAAAACATCATTTCCTAAAAAATAAAAAAAAAATAAGACGCCAATTTTGCGCCACCCTAATGAGCAGTAATATTTAGTAGATCGGGTTGGATCGAGCTCGGCTCCCCCCAACTTAGTAGAAAAAAAAACATGGCATGCAATTTGTGACCAAAATCATGATCTGGCTGTAAAATAAATATGCACGTTAATAGTCAAAATTAAAAAATCAACTAAAATTTAATAAAAATAGCTTATGAAAAAAAAATTGAATGATTGCCGGTGTTGAATATTGTTGGCGGATCGATCGCGATCCAATGATCGAGCTTTATAAATCAATTGACGTTAAGTCAATGTGTAACAGTTGCGACTGCGCCCCCGGATACGAGGGACTCAGATGTGAGAACAACGTCGACGACTGCGCAAACAACAAGTGCGCCAACAACTCAACCTGCGTGGACCTCGTTCAGGCCTACAGATGCGACTGCGCACCGGGATTCATGGGAGAATACTGCCAAACGAAAATCCCATTTTGCACAAAAGGACACGACCCATGTGAGAACGGAGGCCGCTGTGTTGACCACCGGACCCACTACAGTTGTGAATGCCCAATCGGGTTCAGTGGCCTTAATTGTTCCACCAATTTGGATGATTGTGTCGATCATCTCTGCCAGGTAATGGCTGCATATTTTTTTAATCTATTTTCTATATTTTAGTTAGAAGACAGAAGATTTAATTAAACGATATTTTCAGAACGGTGCTACTTGCATCGATGGCATAAACAATTACGAATGTAAGTGCCCGGCAGAATACACAGGAAGGTATTGTGAAGCGGCGCCTTCGACAGCTTTACTTTATCCGCAAACAAGCCCGTGTGCTCATCATGATTGTCAACACGGCGTTTGCTTCCAACCTTCTTCTGATTCTGCTGCGGGTTATCTTTGCCAGTGCCATCCCGGTTACACTGGTATGTAATTAACTATTCCTTTTTAACCCTGCTCCATTCGCTCAATTAAAGCACTAATGCTTTTACGTTCTAATTACTTTACAAAATGTTTCAGTTAAACATTTTAACAAATTTTCATACAAGTTTTAATGGCATTGTTTCGGTTATTTAAGCTAAAGTTGTGCATGAAAGTCATAATAGTATGGATATTTTAATAACTAGAAACATGAAAGTACGAACAAGTTTGGAAAATACAAAAGTGACCGCTTTAGGCTTATCCTGTTATAAATAGAAACTAGCCGTTTCCCGCCCGCTTCGCTGAGCGAATTGAAAACGGAAATAAATTAAATTTCATGTTTCATTTTTATTTTTTTTTTTTTCATATTTTTATTATTCTCCCTTTTTTTTTTTATTTTTGTATGAACATAAATCTGCCTCGCGGATAGAACTGTAAGCATCGATATTGTTTAGACTTGCACAAATTCCAAATTCCATTGAATTAGCCTGCATCTTTCATCCATGTGATTTTTCTAGCTAATATTCATTGTAACTTTCAATGTGCAATTATTATAACATTTCCGTGGCTTTCTTCCAATAATTAATAGTAATTGACACGAAGGAAAAAATTTGAAATGAGCATTGAAAGTTTTAGTTAAAGTCATTGCAAATCTCATATGTAAAGTTGAAATCTGTCTAGGTTCAAGTGCGACGAATTTTCTGTAATCTAAAATTTATTCCGTGACACCAATTTTTTATAGAAAATTAAATGTTCATGTTTTTTATGAATTCTACTGAAATAAGTAACTAAATTTCTTTTCCACATCTCAAGTGCTTGGAAAATGCATTCATTTTAATCTGTTACATTTCCGCGATCCCGCAATAAAAGAATTCATCGGTTATGTGATCTGCAAAAGTAAAATGAATGTAAAATTCTTAGTCCGTTGATTGGATAGCTACATGTAAAGTTAAGTTTTGCAAACCTCTCAATGACTTTTTCTCCGCTGCCAAAGAGACGATTGTTGTAAGGAAATACAAGAATATCCCCACCAAATTTGGAGTCTGTAGAAGTTACAGGTTGGAAATTAAAATTTTAGATTGTAACACCCACCCCCGTAATTCCTGTCGGAAGGAGACTTTATTGAAATCAATTTTGAGATGATCTTTACATGAATAATAAAAGATTCCTACCATATTTAGAATTTTTAGAAGCTATATTTCAAAATTACAATTTTTTATTGTTAACACTCACCCCCGCAAACTTTATTGGAGGTGATTCATTGTAAAATCTGCTCTTAGATCATTTTAATATTACATATAGAAGACTCTTACTAAATTTGGAGTCTATAGGAGCTAGAGCTTGGAAATTGAAAATTTCCATTGTTAACGCCCCCGCGATCTTCTTTGGGGTGGGATATCGTAAAATTCGTTCATAAATCATTTTTACATCACTTATAGAAAATTCCTACAAAATTTGGAGCCCGTAGGAGCTTTAGCTGAAAAATTAAAAATTTTAATTGTTAATACCCACCCCCGCAACCCCCTGTGGGGTGAGCTATCGTAAAATTCGTTCATAGACTATTTCTACACCTCTTACAGAAGATTCCTACCAAATTTGAAGTCTATATAGGAGCTATAGTTTAAAAACGGGAATTGTTTATTGTTAACGCCACTGCAATCCCCTTTGGGGATGAATTTCTTAAAATCCATTCTTAGCTGATCTCTACATAGCAAAAATAATATTCCTACCAATTTTCATGTTTCTAAGTCCTATGGTTCCCGAGATTTCGTGATGAGTGACTACATAGATGGGAATCCTTCGATTATCATCGAAATTTTAACTTTTTAGCGGACTTTTTTAAAATTTTTTTGCATACAAAACTTTCTCCTGACAATTCTGAAGATAAAAAAAAATAGCCCAATCGGTCCAGTAGTTCTCATCTAAATTAAAAAAAAATTAATTGAAAAAAAAAAATTAATAAAATTTCTAATCTAAAAATAAAAATATTTATTTAATGCTGTAAGATGGACGGCAGAGTTCATAAGAAAATTTGTTTTTCATCAGTTATTCCATTGTGTATAAGTGGGAGTGGGTGAGTGGGAGTGAGTGGGTGGGTGCGTGGGAGTGTGTGAGTAGATTCTTAGCTGAATGTGAAAGAACTTAATCCGTTTAATATACTTCGTTGAAATCCATGAAAACAAAAGAGTCAAGGGAAAATGCTTGTCTTTTGTTTTTATTAGCGGGATAAATGTTCATAAAAGTAAAACAGCAATAAAAAAATGAAGGAACGTTGGAATTCGAAAAATAAATAGCCATAAACCATCTAGGAAAAATTTCGCATCGAATGGTGGTAGTTTCATGTCGATATGATCAGTATAGATTAAAATAAAAATAGTCGACCCGTAAGAATACTTTGCACAATATTTTAATCAAATAATGGATAGCCACATTGTAATGTGAAAATAAAGCATATCCATTGTGACTGTTGAAATAATTTTTCTTTAAGGGGGATAGCTACTGTGACGGTCGAAAAAATAAGTGATTTTGAGAAATTTTATGACCGGAAAAGTAAAGAAATTTGGGGATTAGGTTTTTTTGAGTTCTAATAAATGTACATTGAAGATGAATATCCTAAATTTTTATTAAGAAATATCACATTGTTACCTAGTTGTTAACATTTATCTCCAATCCTTAAAAAAATCCCTCTCCATAGTCACATCGTTATCTCGAAAGCGGGTGATCCAGAGAAAAAATTTTGGTTATGTTATTTAATCTGTATGAATGTGGTTATCGATGCACGTAACCGTTTTTTTTTTTATTCTCTTGAGTCAAAAAAAAAAATTGGAACTTTGACTTTAAATTTAAGTCAAAATCCTCATATTTTAACTTATTTATTTCCGTTTATGAATGTAAAATTTCCATAAAATTTGACTTACTTTTGACTTTATTGGCTTAGTTAGGATTGATTTAAGACAAAATAAAAGGCCATTCGGCAGCCGGAACGGAAGTCGATTTCTCAAATAAAGAAAATTTATCTTTTATAAAATAATATTAATAATAATATATAACTTAATTCATTCATTAGGAAAAAAATTCAATAATTTATTTAAAAGCATTTAGAACTAATTTTTTTCAAAGTAAACATTTGCTGGTTTTGTTTCAACAATAGTGTTAATTTTGTAAGTAGAATTTCAATGTTAACTTATTAGCCAAATGTGGAAATTTCAGCGAAAATGCCCAAACAAAGTTCCTGTTAACTTAAGAAATTGTAGGTTTCGATTTAAAAAAAACAATACTCAAACTAAGTAATTGTGATTAAAGATATCGAAAAGTCGGTCAGCCATATTTTTTTTATTTATTACTTATAATTCTTCGTTATCAAATAATGACTGCCGGTTTCTAATATATAAAAAACAAAATAAATAAAAATTGAAAAATTTTTGTAATTTAATATCTGTAGTTGTGAATACATTTCTTTTTGTGGCGGTTTCACGAATAAATTGGAATCTTGAAACGACTTTAGATTGGAAAATTGAGTTTACATTTACCCTTTGAACAAACTAATTATTTTTGATATTATATTTATAATTCTTCGAAATTATAAATGAAAATCAATCAATTCTCATCGACTTTTATTAATGACGTCATAAAGGGTGAGGGCAGCTATTGAATATTTAAAATTCTGTTGTTTTATATCCAAGCCAATGTCAGGAATAAGTGATTTTAACTTTTATTAATAAAAGAACAAATTTTATATTTAACGATCATAAAAATTTCCATTAATTATATCATGTAATATGAATAAGTTCCATTTGCAATCAATTATTTATTCATTGACGTTACATTAATTAGTATTTTTTTTTTTTTTAATTTCCAATAAACATTTGCAGATATCATCAGTGAAAATAATTTTATGAACATTTCATTTACTAAATTAATAAATTTAATTTTCCAATAATTACTTAGTATTTTGGGATTGAAATTATTTATAATATCGATGTCATTGAATTGATTGTAAATATTTATAGCAAAAATCAAATAGGCTACTAATTAATTAAAAAAATAAAATAACTATTTTCTCTATATTTATTGACTGCGTTTTGTTTAAAATTGTGCAATAATAAAAAAATGATGCGAGTGATGGAGGGTTAATATTTAGAACAAAATTCAGTAGATTGAAAGGATAATTATCTTATAATAAATTGTATTAAATAATTGAAGGAAAACGATGCGAGTACCTGACGAGCCTGAGCTTCGTGGACAATAGCTCGCTGGTCGAGCTAGAGCCGCTTCGCACGAAGCCCGAGGCTAATGTGACCATCGTCTTCACAACCACTCACGAAAATGGGGTTTTACTCTACGATGGTATAGAACAGAGTGGTGAACATATTGCAGTTGAACTATTTAACGGTCGAGTACGAGTTTCATATGACGTTGGAAACTATCCAACCTCCACGATGTACAGCTACGAAATGGTCTCAGATGGAAAGCCACATATGGCCGAGCTTATAGCAATAAAGAAAAATTTTACTCTGAGAGTAGATCGAGGACTTGCTAGGAGCATTATCAATGAAGGTACTAGGGAATATCTCAAGCTCAATACCCCGATGTACGTCGGTGGTGTACCATCTGAAGTTGCCAGCAACGCATTCTCACAATTTCACCTCAGAAATGTCACCAGTTTTCAAGGTAATGGCTACATTACTTTTCTAAGTGTTTAACTCGTAGATTTTTTCAAAAATTTTACTATTTATTCTTTCGTGATCGAATTTTGGCCGCATTACGTCATTATATCTATAATCGAGAACATAAATAATCGAATGAATTTAAAATTGAATTTTACAGTCTTTACGTTGAACAAAAAAAAATTTATGACCGATATTTTACATGATAGTTATTTTATTGTAAATTTTTAATGAAAAAATTGCATTTTGTGAAGATAAGTAATTAAAATCAAATTTATATGCACACAATTTAAAAATTTTGAAATTTATTCTCAATGGCTATGCAATCAAAATTCAATTTTTCTCGAAAAAAGAACAGTTTTCTATTCAAGCAATAATATTAGCATCAATATCGTCAATGTTGAAAAATCATAGAACAACCGTCTTTTTATTTAGTATTTCAATTTTCATACATATAAAAATATCTCTAGCAAAATTTTGTTTGCAAAAGAACAATAATTACATAAGATTCTCGTAGAATTTAAAAAAAACTTCAAGACAGACAATTTAGAACAAAACTTTGCTATCAGTTTAATTAATTCACCAAAAAATTGAACAAACTTAAATATTCTTGAAATTTTATTCAATTTTAACCTTTAATAATTTTAGACAGAGTAGATTTATCAAAATGTCTAAATTTCACGTTTTTTTTTTTTTTTTTTTTTTTCATTTTTCACAATATTACTGAGATAAGGTAAAAGCCCCAATAGATGATCACGTACCAGTATATGATCACTCCATGTATTTGTATATCTATATTCACAAATATAGGTATACAAGTACATGGAGTGATCATATACTGGTACATGACCATCTATTGAGGCTTTTACCTTACTTAAAGGAAAGAATTAGTCGTTTTTCTTCTTTTTTACATTTGACTATATGCATAAGTACGCTAGATAGCGGCTTGATACTTTAAGGAGGTCCTTTCGCCGCCAATGTAAAATAAAAAATATTAGATTATGAGTAAATTCAATTTTTTTTTTAATAGTTAAGGCCCTTATTTATCTAATAGTGAGGTTTAAATTATACTTTACCGGACAAATTTTTGAAAAAATAAAATTTTTAAATGTTAGTATTTGTTCAGAGTCTTACGAGAAAGTCAAACGTTTGCAGTATTTCTCGAATTATACTATCAGCCATGGATTAGATGAAGTAAAAAAAAAAACTAAAAATTAGATTTTCGAAATATTCAGATTTCTTTTTTTGCAATAAAATATATAAGTTACCGAGATATTTATTGAGAAATTAATAATTAAAAATCACAAAAAATTCTCAAGTAAACTACGTTAAAATGGAGTCAAAACATTTGGCAACATTGCGTAATCAAGCATAACCTATTTATTTTATGAGAGCGTACAGGTTTAGAATAGCAGCAATTAAAAATTTTCAAAAAATTATAAATAATTACACCTTTACTAGTTCTTCTTGATAAAAAAAATTTTCAAAAGCGATAACTTCTCGAATATCTGCAAAATTTATTTGAATGCTTATCAGTTAAGCTTTTATATTCTATACAAAACATTATTTATTTTTCAACTATTGGATAAAATTTTATTGTTGCATTAATTTGATGTTTGTAACTTTAAAGTAGCATTGAAAAATCATCTTTTTTTATTAAATTGAACTCATACAAAAATGCTTTAAGTTTTAATAGATACCTTGCGTGAGACACTATCGTGTCTCTGAATTAATTAGCTGAATTAATATTACCGAAAATAACAGACATTCAAAAAATTTTAAGACTAATGTCTTCCGATTAGATTGTTACAAAAATGAATTCCAAAAAATTGCACTTACAGAGTTTTAAAAAATTATTAATGCAACTTTTTTTTTGCAAAAATTTTTTTTCTTAAAAGAAATACAAAAAAATGGAATGACGTCTGGTTCATTCAGTATCATTTAAATTAACTCCCAAAAAATTTATTGTTACATTCATTAATGAATAATTTTATATAATATATACTTACCAAATGATAAAAAATAATAAATAAAAAAAAAAAACAAACCAATATTACAAACGAATAGAAGGAAAAAATAATGTTCCGAACGAACTATTTAAAACAAAAAGGCTACCTCCGTTTTAGGTTGCATATCAGGAATGTGGATAAATCATAAATCAGTGGACTTTAGCAACGCTGCGAAGATGCATCGCGTGACTCCCGGATGTGCTTCTGGGGAAGAGGAAGCCGATGAAGCTGGGAAGGATATAGAAGCAGCTGAATCTAATAATAGTGGTAACATTGAAGACTCCATGCAGCATGAACACGTTGTGCATGATAATTCAGGTATATATAATATATTTAATGTATATTCAATTGTTACCGTTGTTTCGCAAAGAGTTTATTGCACCTGGATCGTCATTGTTGCAGATACCGTTGTATCAGTACCAGGCGCAAGTATTATCGATCCTTGTACAGGTCACGAATGCCACAAAGGCTCACAATGTGTACCATCTCTGTTCGGAAATGGTTACTCTTGTCGGTGTCAGACTGGCTGGCAAGGACGATATTGCGAGAAAGGTAACATAATTTGTTTATTTTAATTAGTTCGATAGCTACTGCCAGCTATATTATAATGATGATGATAATTAACCAATGACTGTTATTTAAACTTAGCGCCAACTTGTCGTAAAGAACATACCAGAGAGTATTACAGCGAAAATGGATGCCGCAGCAGACGTCCAGTTAAATTAGCCAAATGTTGGGGCAGTTGTGGTAATTCATGTTGCCTTCCGCGAAAAACTAAGCGTCGTAAGGTAATTATAATTAGTACTTTGAAGTTTTATTTATTCAAATGGCCACATTAGAATATGTCAGGCAATATCAGAAAATGTTTTCACTCGTTTTGAAACTGAGAATTAACTCCTGATAGGCAAACCGGTTGAAAAATATCCACTCCTAAAATTTAACTTACACCAAAATATTTGAGCTTTAGTTTAAACTTCAATTGAAAACAAAGAAATTTCTTTGCCTTTATTGAGTGCTTGAAATTCAATTGGACTAGTTTTTTACTCTTATTGCTGTTAGAGGAATATGGTTTAGATGTTTACTTATCAGGCGTTACGTAAAAAATTATGACATTTTATGTTCCTAAAATTAACCAAAACCTGACAATTAAAGAAAAATTTTTTATTTTGAAAGAATTTTGATTTAGAAAAAAAAAAATTTTCTTGTGCTTGTGTTATTTTGTCGTTCAATATTTTTCCTCCGTTGTTACTTTTAATTTAATTATTGAATAAACAATATTTTTTTAGGTCCGCTTGATTTGTACCGATGGAAAACGCTACACGAAAGATGTTGACTTAATACGTAAATGTACGTGCACACGTAAATGCTATTAGACTGGAAGAAATCAACTGCTAATTCATCACACCATCATATAGGATTTTTTTAATACATAAAGTAAAAGTAAACCCCATTATTCCATATTTAATATTACTCATTAAATTAAGGCATTTTTCAATTATTTTTTTTTACGTGCCTATTTAATATTTAAATAAGATGAGTTATTAATAATAAAACAGTGAGTGACGATGTGCGGACTAAATTCGATGGACACACACAGCCGGCTCAGTGTGATATGTATTAATAAGAATTATATTATAATATGAAAATAATAATAATTACAATTATAATAATAATAACAATAATATTGGACTAATAGATATGAATTAATCAATAATTATCTATTATTTATATAATATAAGTATCTGTTTAAGGAGATATTTTAAGTATTACAATTGTACAAGCATGTTTCCGTTTGTTTACTGATTTATTAAAAAATCAATGGTATGCGTGCTTGTATTTATATAAATACATAATAAGCTATAAAAAAATATATATTGTATTACTTGATAAAATGTCAATCGATCGCATTTAATCTACGATTATAGAGAGGTTAACTTTGTAAATGATAGCAATCGTAAAATTCCCAGTATCCCAAATATGAGCTAAAAATGTAAAAGAAATTAAAAGTGTCATGTTTAAATGAAGTTTCTTTTGCCATGTATTAAATTTTAAATAATAGGCACAATCAAACAAATTAAGAACTATTAATTGTAAATAAAAAATTCATAGTCAGTGTTGCTGAGGCAAACATATTTATAGTAAATGTTGCTATGGTAACCGTTTCTATGGTAACTGTTGTATGGTAGGCGTTCTCATAGTGATAGTTGCTACAGTAACCATTGTTATGGTATGCATTTCCATGGTAACCATGGCTACGGCAAGGGTTTCCGTAGAAACCGTTGCTATAAAAGGCGTTGCTATGGTAACTGTTGTTGCTATAACTCTTGTCATGGTAGGCATTGCTATGATTACTGTTGCTATAGCAGGTGTTATTATGCTACTATTACTATTGTAAGCGTCGCTATAGCAACTATAGTTACGGAGTATCATTACATTTGAAATCCTTCACTTTTTTTGGCCTAGCTCTCATTTGCAAACGTGCGATAAAAAACTTCGTTTCAAAAATAATAAAAGTTTTGTTAATACCTGGTACGTTAATGGTCAAACTAATTTACTTTCTCGCTCTCCTGCCTTGGAATTTAGAAATAAACAAGGTCTTAAAACGTGTGAAGAAGCGATTTAATACAGTAAAATAACGAATTATGTCTATTTAAATGAATTAACATGTAACAACATAAATAGTAATTAATAATTTTCAAACATATTTTCTCAATTTGAAATATTTATTATTATTTAAATCGTAAATTTCTTTTTTCTTTAAATAATGAATACAGTGTACCTACTTCACAAACACACTACCCACTGCCAATAAAATCGTATTTATTGAAAAAAATTATTGCGATATTTTGAGGTATCATTTGTAATTAGAAGTTATTTTCAATATTGAGAGCTTGGACGGAATTTAATTATAAAATTTTCATATTATTTATAAGAAAAATGAATAAAATATACGTTTAATAAATTACTAATTTAAATTTGTATATAAATGAAATATTTTTCTACGATTTTTTATCAAAAAATTGTATTATTTAATTTGAAAAAAAAAAAAAAAAAACAAAAAAAAATCAATTAGTGGAAATAATATTGGAGGTATAAATGAAAATTTTTGTTATAGCGAGCAATTAAAATAATTTGATATCACAATTTAATTGAATTATTAGCTATGAGGCTACTGAATGGAGTTTAATTACATAATTAAATTTATTCCACAAACAATAAAATTCATAACAATAATTATTTACCGAAAGCGTTATGTCCAAATTCTCAATATTTTTAAAATAAATTGTGGAATTTAAACATTTAAATATAATATACGATAAAATATCATTTTATAACAAATTATCAACATTATTTTAATAGGTGTATCATAATAACATTTAAATCATATTATATATCTGAATTATTATTTAATCGATTTTAATTAAAATTATATTAGATTTATTTGAGAGATATTTTTTTTTATTCAATATCGATTCACAAGGTGACCAATGATAAATGAATTATAACGTGGGACAAAAGTTAAATAACGTATCTATGAATGAATGACGACAAAAGTAATTATTAATAAATAGTTCAGGGGCGCATAAAAACCTATAATTTTTTTTTAAGTCTTATTTTTTTTTAAGTCTTATTTTTTTTTTTTTTTTTCTAGAATTTTCGATGTAACTCTCGTAAACAAATATTCGACTATTTGAAGGGGCTTGCAATAAGTGAATATTTATAAATAAAGTGTTTAAAAAAATGTATCCAAAGCAGATTCTAAAAATATCAAAGAAATCATTCAATAATTTTCTTAATACTAATTTATTCTTGAAATAAAATCAAAAAGTAGTCAGGAGCCATTGTTTTTCATGTGTTGAGAGATTTGTTAGAATTCATTCGTTAGAATAACTTTTTGGAATTAATCATGACTTTCAAATATCGAAAATTGAATCATAATGTTTCTAATAGATTTTTTTCTATATTACAATAAATGTTATTCAAGTTTTTAAGATAATTATTTCTAGTTTAAAAATTTCTTGTATTTAGTATTTAGTACTTATCGGACTGCGTGTGAGAAGATTTGAGCTCCACATTTTACCTAGCGGCTGTTCTAGGAACTAAATATTTTTAAATCAATCAAGAAAAAGTGACTAAAATCTGACGTTCTTGGGTTAAGATTTTATCTATTGAATCACATCAATTATCTAATCAGGGTACTTAAAAGTGTATAATTTTTGTAAGAGTAATTTTTAAAAATTAAAATAAAACTAAAATTATTTGATTATTCATTATTTTTAACGTGAACAAATCACTGGATAACACAAAAAAAGATTGTGGACATGAAAAAATGAAAGTTTTACCGGAATTTTTTAAAATTCTAGCAAGCCCTAAAAATTTCTCTTTCGAATGAATTTTCAATAACGTTTCTGAAATATTATAAAATATAAAACATATAAGACTAAAAAAAAAAATTGTTGGTTTTTTGCGCAACCTTAATAAATAGATACGTCTTTATGGACAATAATAATGCGGAACCGAAAGTAGGTGTCTAGTTAATGCGATAAAGAGTATCGGCATGCAAAGGATTGTGCTTCCTTTTTGTCTTTTACATTATAATAATGAAAAAATAAAATAATAAATATTCGCAATAAAATTGCTGAAAAAACCGTTAATGATTGGTGTAAGAATTTCAACCTAGACCGTTTCTAATATCTAATAAATTAAAATTACAAGTTGATTAATTTCTTAATAGAATTATATATTGATAAAATAGTGACGAGAAATAACTGAATACAAAAAAAAAAAACAGTAAACAAATTTTTACAATTAACGTAATTAAATAATATGCCATGCACTTTTTTGAACGACACTGAAAGTGAATTTTAAAATTATTGTCAAAGCGCGGTATTAATTAAATTATTAAATACCGATAGTGAGCCTATAAGAATACAATGAGAGTAAAGAATGAACAAATGTTTGAATGATTGTTACGCCGGCGAATGTTTTAAAGAAATGACTGATAGATCGAAAGTATATCGAAAAAATAAATTTATATATAATTATTACTGAGTAATAAAATGATGAGCGAAAATTTAGCAGCTGAATAAGACATGAAAAAAAAAACATATGTGTATTTAAATATGACGCACGTTTTACCAAATAACAATAGTATACATGCATGCATAAATAGAAATATTGATACCTCTATTACATAAGAATTTAATTAATTAATTAGCGTCAATAAAATAAAAAAAAATGTCTATGTTTATATAATGTAATAAAGAACCTTAAAATATGAACGCTATTGAATAAATGTATGTAAAGTTTATTTAATTCAAATTTTCTCATTTAAAAACCTTGTATTACTTTTCTTAAACTAATTTAAATATTAATCCTTTTTCGTTAAGGAAATTTTAAGTGTAAATTTGAAAAAATTACTCAATTAAGAAAAAATGTTTTCTATAAATTTTGCTCTCGTTCCACGGTATTCAGTTTTTTTAATCTGAGAATTTCAGTCTCGAATCAATAAATTAAAATTCTTGGATAAGCAGAAAAATTTTTCTAAGAATTTCATTCTGAAGAGATAGTTTGTTGTTTTTTAAGAAAATGCATGTATACGTTAACCAATATTTTCTTTTTTCTAGATTGTAACAAAGGTAGTTATAAAACATAACGTTGGTTCAAGATATTACCGACTTGTTCTAAGAAAGCCGTTGGAGTTAAGCATTCTCAGATTTATGCTCCTCGCTATCGATTGGAAAATGTTTCAAATATGTTTTGGAATATGGAGAAGTTAAGATTTCGATTATTTGAAAGATTTGTTTGCTACCTTTGTGACGTTGCAGAAGGGTTTAATACCTCGTCGTGTGCTAATACGACTTACTCGTGCTCTAGCTCGTCGTGGTCCAGGGTTTGGATGAGGATCACGCAACACAGATAACTTAATATTAACTATCAATAAGCAAATAATAACACAGAATTCAAATATAAGCTTGAATTTATTCATTTAATAAAATACCAGGTAAAAATAATAATAATAATAATAATGACAATTATTCATCAATAATAAACAAAAAGATAATATTTATAATAATAAGATAAATATTAATAATAATACGATAAATGTTAATAATAAATACAAATAATTATAATATACCAAGATACAACTGTACAATGTACGCATTTTACTTAAATCTAACCTCAAAATTACAATATATACAACAGTACTACTTTTTGACAAGCCGTGCTTCTAATTGCAGCCTACGGGACAACGCGTCGCGACCACGATCTATCTAAATCTCCTTCTAGCTCCCTCTATTAACCAAGAGAAGCTTGGTTACCAATATAGAGATACCGGGATTGTGTCAGGTACCCCGACGCCCAGCCGTATCTCCCCCTAGGTGTTCCGACGAGGAGTACCTCCAAGTCCAGGTGTCGCCAACCTCCTAGCTCTTATCCCCAAATATTCGTTCGAGAACGATAGACTATGAACCACAGCCTCGCCCCCCTCCCCACCTGTTCAATAGGGGCTATTCGACGACCCAGGTACCCCGGGTCAACCTGGTGACAAAAAGATCTACCGCAAGGACAGTTTTATATAGAAAGTAATATTCTTACCTTCTATACTGCTCAGCACAGCACCCAAGACTTCTTCTGTAAGTGTTCCACTCTCGTCAGAAGCTCGAGCTGATCTGGCAAAAAGTGATCGAAAAATTGCTTTTAACAACTCAGGAGCGATAGTCTGCGCGCGGACAGTCTGAACGACACCGCGCTGCCTCACGGCGCGCGCAAGAACTATGCTCCTGGGTTTCCCGGCTGCTTCCCCTACTCCCGGCTTGTCTCCGGCGCTCTCGCCGTTTCTTTCTCTTCTCTTTCTTTCTTTCCCGAGTAGGCTGCGCGCGGCTGTCTTCTTTTTCGCGCTCATGTAAATAATAAGATACTCGAGTATTTTATTTTTATTTCGCTCTTATTATCTATTTAATAATTATTCTATTAAATAATTTATATTGAATTTATATAAAATTACCAGGCGCGTCGCACCTTTAATGGAAAAGACTAGTTCTGAAATCAAGAATGTAAAATTTTTGGAATCATATGAAATTATTGTTAGTTAATAACAAATTCTTCCGATAAACAATTTGATTATATCAATCGAAAATAATATCTTTTCGATCGATAATGTAGATTTCTTGAACTAAGTTGACGAGATTCAAGGTGGAAAATTACCCCGATAGCCAAGTTGATCGCAACTTGCTGTCAATCTACTCTACAAAGTCGATGACGAGTTCCTCACGAAGCTTGGTGACATATTACGGCAATAGATTGTCGCTAACTTTCTCCCCAACTTGTCAGCAAATTGTCACCTACAGTTGTAAATTCAGAAGTTGACGGTAAGTAGTCGGTAAGTTGTGGCAACATATCTGACACCGTTTTATTAGTTAAAAACTCTGATCATTAGGATTCTGTAACCGGAGGTTTCAGTTTAATTTACAACGTCATACTCGGACTTGTAAACCAGTGCACTCGATGGTCGGCAATGCAAAATGTGTATGTGGACAAGTTATCTGGCCGCGCTGTGTTGCTTCGGTAAACTCTGTTTTAGCGTACGAGCTACAGTTTGGAACCGAGTGGAGGTGGGAGGAGATCACTTTGGAAAGAGCATGAGCGGGCTCTCTTCCGTCGTCAGCAGCCAAACGAGTCGGTTGACTCGAAGACATCGCTGCCAATATGCACAACACCTGGGACGCGTCGGCGATGGTTGAGCGGGTGGACTGGAGTCCATCCTACATTGGAAACAAGAAGACCCAGGCCAGGTCCTGTTGGAATGGTCTGTGAGGCGTTCTCTGGTTGGCCAGGAGGCCAGGAGGCTGGTGCTGTACTACCTCGTGGATTCTGTCAACCCCAACTACAAGAATTCTATACCTACGTCCATTCACCGTCGAGATTGTCACCCAGTAGTCAGTAGGCATAATCTATAAATTCTGTACAGCTTATCCCTGCGATGCTGTAAATCACGAATGTCACTAGATATCCAAGGAGCAGGCGGATGAGATGCCTTTATTACATGCTCCGGAGCATTGATTCACTATTAATAAGACTCCAATTACGGCAACGGAAAGTCAAAGGAGAGTGCCTCGGAACACTAAAATTTAATGTAACACTAATAATGTCATGGCCGGAGAGAAAAGGCACATCTGATTGACAAGAAACAACCAAATTACACTGGTCTACAGTGGTTTTGTTGCCCTAGATATAAGATTGATTTTGGATATATTTATACTCACAATTCATGAAATTATGAATGATTTTGTAAGATTTGCTTTCGTTTTTTTTTAAATACTTATTTTTATTTTACATTACAAAAATCGGAAAACGAGAAACAAAATAACAGATATATTTATAATGTCAGTTTTATTTGGATAAAAATATGATATATCGAAGTAAATAGAGAGAAAAATATGGAAAACATGTTATATTATCATAAAACGCCTTTTAAGAGCTTTTCTTTTATAATTTTCCCGGGGACAATCTCTTTTTAAAGACCAGCAGTAATCTGCCATCATATAACAGTCCCATCGACCCTGATATCTTTCTTCCATTACTTTCAGATCCTAGTGGAACCGCTTTCTTGTTCCTCACTATAATTTCCTAAATTATCTAGAAATTTATCCAAATGATTGCGGAGATAGTGTAAATTGATACTCATATTTGCTCCTAGAGTCTGAAAGTTTGTCAGCATATTATGTACAATTTCTTCATAATTTGGTGCTTTATGGTTACCTAGGAAATTTTCAACTACCAACACAAAACTTTCCCAAGCTTCACTATCCGGAACAGTCATAACTTTAATAAAATCTGCGTCTTTTATCAATTGCCGTATTTGAGGACCATCAAATATTCCACCTTTCAACTTTTCCATACTAAGCTTCAGAAATTTTCGACAAATGTATTTAAAAAAATCCCCTTCCTTGTCCAAATCTTTAACGAATTGCTTTTCCATTCCTAACTTAATATGTAATGGTGAAAGTATGATTTTGTCTCTGTTCACCAACGGTTCCCTTATGACATTGGCTTTACCGACAGTTAGAGAATTTCTTGCAGGCCAAACATCTTGTTCCCAATGAAGTTGCTTTGCTCTACTGTCCCACATACAAAGGAAGCAAGGGTATTACGTGTATCCACTTTGTTGACCAAGTAAAAAATTAACCATTTTCAAATCTACACAGATCGGCCATTGATGCTCCAAGTATTTAATTTTTTCTAAAACTAATTTTACATTTTCATATCCTTCTTTGAGTTTTGTTGAATGGGCAATTGGAATTGATGCAAATTTATTTCAATTGTGCAGTAAGACGCATTTTAAACTTCTTTTACAGCTGTCAATAAAAAAGACGCCACTCAGTAGGTTTGTATTCTTCCAAGCCCATGTCTAAAAGCAGCTTCGCAATATCACGCAGAAGCTTAATCAGGACTGGGAAAACAAATTTTAGTACTAACAAGCTGATAATTGTTCAAAATATAAGATACGTAAAAATCATAAAAAAAAGAGCACATTCAGTATTTTCATGAATATATTCGTAATTTAGGTACTCGAAAACATAAAAATTTGCAAAAATATCCAAGGCAACACAAAAAATTTTTTTTTTTGTAGAGCTGTGTTATCAATGTTATTAATTATACAATGATCAATCCATGTGTGTGACGTAGCAGTATGATGTGTAGCACTAAATGGAACAATGCTTAAATTATAAGAGTTACAAAAGTCATTCAAATGCGCAGATAAATTAGTATTAATTAACATATTTATATTTAAATCACCCAATATCACAATATTCTTATAAAACATAAAAAGCTCACTAAAGTCTCTTTCAAAGTCATTCAGCAAATCAGTATTCGGGGGACGGTATATCACAGAGATTAAAATTTTGTTACGTAACGTAGTCTACACTTCAGCAATAATGTACTCTGGGTAACCATCCAGCAGGTTCGAGGAACAGTTAATAATTCTTGAAGACAATGTATTACCTATGAATAGCAAAACACTTCCACCGTGACGTGTCTTCCAGTCATTACGAAGCAGCTGAAACTCAGGAAGATTCATTTGAGCATCAACAACATTTGAAGACAGCCACGATTCAGAAACAGCGATAACATCATAGTCCAAAACCCGAAAATGATCTCGAAACTCATCAGTGATTGCGCATTAAGGTGACAAATTTTAATATTAACTGACGAACTGCAAATAGTAACACTCTGCTGAGACACATCAACTCTGAGTTATTGGCTTAAGCCAGGAATCTTCGTCAAATCCATCGACGGTAATATCTTCAGTGGCTGAGAGCCATCCTGAAGTCTAACACAAACCGCACCTGCCGCAATCCAAACATTTTTCTTGCTTACCATCGGAAATTGCCTCACAATACTCTGACGTAATTTGTACAGTGTAGATGGGAATCGTCTGTTGATGTAAACCGGTAGTTTACGCGCACCTTGAACTAATATATCAGCCGTAATGTTCCGACGAACTTTCTTTGCCTCAAAAAATTTATTAACAATATGCAGGGATTGACACTTGACCAGAAACAGCTATTTTTCTCTTGCCAAGACGCTCTACTGAAGATACACAGTTGACATCAATATCTTGAAGTCCCAGAGACTTACTCAGATTCTTCACAATGTCTCCCAAATCCTCCGTACCCGGGAAAAAATTATCAGATCTGATCAGATATGAACAGGCATGAGTCTTCAGGTCTGATCAGATATGAAAAATGACCGGGTCTGATCAGACCTGGCCAGGCATGTTCATGTCTGATCAGATCTGTTCATGCCTGACTCGATTAGGTCCATAAAAAAAAAAAAAAGATTGGTGCCGACGGGGATTCGAGCCATGTACGTTGTACTCTTCAGACTGATACTTTGCCTATTGACCCATGACTTATCTTAATTCTAGTGTACCTTTCAAATTACTTTAAGTAATTTAAATTTTATACATGACTTATCCGTATAGTTAACAGAGTTCTATACTTAACTTATTAATTATTAATAATTAATTATACACAGTAAAAAATTTCGCGTCATAGCATCAAACAATTTTGTGTTAAAAATTTTTATGTCAAATATTTAACACTTTTTTGTGTTGATTTAACAGAATAAATGTTAAATTTACACATAAAAGTGTTAAATATTTAACACAAAAATTTTTAACACTAAGATTTTTGACGCAATGACGCAAAATTTTTTACTGTGTATATTAGAGTGATTTATTTGGGACGGCTATGTATTTTTTTCGCTTCATTAACATATGGTTCTATGTAAAGTAAAAAAAAATTTCTTCACGGTTTATTCCGTAATTATAATTTTATTGTTTTCTTTAAAAACTGAAGTTTTTTTAATTAAAACGTATAGGAAATGAAGAATTATTTGTGTGTTCTACAATTTAACAGCCTTTGACACTACTGCAATAGACCAAGGCGTAGCTTAAGATAATAACAGACACCTTGAAAGGACTTATCGATATCAACTGATATATTTTGGTATTTTAACGCTATCAAACTCACACTTTTACTAAATAATCTTATTTTTCATGTATTCAATGGAACACAGTAAAAAATTTTATGTCATTGCGTCAAAATTCATCGTTAAAAATCATCGTTTTGGCATGGAAAATTAAAAAGTTCATGCTTATATAAGCCGGAATTTTTGATAAAAGTTGTACATTTAAAATTTATAAGGGGATAGAAACTGATACGTCATACGGAACAAATTAATTTTAAAAATAGAACTGCAGTCTATAGTTCGATAAAATTTTTCTTCCAGACTTAAAATACCATTTAAGAGGGCAAATCATGCATGAACAGTTCTTGTCAGCTGATATATGGAGTTTTAATCCTTTTCTATTAGGCTAGAACAGATATAATCAGACATGGACAGGCCTGATCAGGTCTGAGTGTATTTAACGGTTCAGACATGGACAGGCATGAACAGACATGGACAGGTCTGATCAGGCCTAATTTCAGGCCTGATCATACCTGAACATGCCTGATTAGGTCGGATTTCAGGCCTGATCAGATATGAACAGGTCTGATCAGTCCTGATCATTTTTTTCCGGGTAGGCACCTCAGGAACTCCTGAAATAACAAGCTGATCCGATAATTACTGCGTTTCCAGAAGCAGCTGTCGAACTTCAATGCTTTCAATTAATTTCACATTGTTTAGATTAAGATTAACTTCCGATGAGACAGCAGCAGCATTTTCAACCCCAGCAATGCGTTTCTCTAACTTAGCATAGTTCTCCTGTAAATAGATTTTTGCAGATGTCATTCAAGCCATTTAATTTCTTAATAACACCATGAACTTGCATTTTAACATCTCTAATTAACCCCAGTTTTTCATTTATGTTTTCCAGTATTTTTGTAATAGACTCCGGTTGCGGTTGTGGAGTAAGACAAATCGGACACTTATCAGCAATATAATCCGCAACATCAGCTATCGAATCCAAAACATATCTCACTTTCACACATGTCAAATGAAAGCAATGTTTACAAACATCATTCGTTACTGCATGAGCGTCGGTAATCGATTGAATACAGATTCCACACATCATAGTTTCCTTCGACATAATGTAGATGGCAATAAACACTACGCACTGAAATTAATAAATCTGCACACTGTACCTAATACTGAAAACACGTGCTGAGTAAATTTTAGACACGAATTACTGCGTAAACTAACTATTATCATCTCAGTAAAATTGTACAAATCAAAAACAAAAATTGCTTAATTCACTCGACACAAAGGAATAATTTACAAGTCAAATGTGAACACCAAATGTAATTCAAATATGAGGAGCGAAATAAAGCGTGACTGATTAGATTTCCGGTGTTTCACCATAAGAAGGTGGACCTTCTTATGAACTCCGCCGTCCATCTTACGGCATAAAACAAATTTTATTTTGTTTAAGAAATTACAGTTTCTCTAACACAAAATTAATAATATTTACCCAATACTTACTTTTGCTGGTAAGTTTACTAAATTTCACTGTTTAACACTAGTAATTTTCACTAAAAAAAAGTCAAAAAAACTAATAAATAGTTTTTAATATCAAGTTTCGATGATATAAATATTCAAATTGAATGCATATACAAGAAGAAAATAGCGTTCAACGCCATCTGTGGTGAGAACATGTAACTACAAAAAAATTATTTGTTTCTTTTGACTTTTGTCACACGACCGCGCCGATGCTAAAATACGACAGCAGTTACGCAAAAAACCCTATTTTAAACATTAAATAAAAATTATTGTTTTTGAAGCTAGAGTTCCGGGAGTCGAGACTTTTTTTCAGAATTTTTCTCCTTTTAAATGATCTTCTTTCCAAATTTTGATATTACCTATAGTTATTGAGTTATTTATAAAAAAATGAGATTTGTTATTTTGTTTATGATTTTTGTTAACAATAAATTGAAATTTTTATCAATAAAGTAAAAAAACAACATCATTATTTTCAGAATTTAATTTCGCATCGAATGATAAGTTGTTCATATTGTTTATCATAATTTCTAAGATTTTCATCAGCAAATTTACACAAGGTTCTCACAAAAATTTTCGTTACTATGTAACACAGGAAAAAGATTTATTCTTTTCTCTCCGAGCATTAGAAAAAATTTAAGAAGATTTATTAAATTGTATTTTTATCAAATAAAAATTTCCAACTCCAAATACACTATATACAAGACTTTAAAAAATTTTTAAAATTTTTTTCTTGTTTTCCACTCAAAGTTCTGAAAAGTGCTTAATTTATTCTTTCGAAGTTTATACAAGATCCAAGTTGAATTTGTGATAAATTGTAGACTATTTGTTGAAATCAGTTTATATTGGTTAGTAATGAATTTTTATCGATATAATGTGTAATGTGTTACATTACACATTTTTAACTTCCCGCTAAAAATCTCAGATTTTCAAAAATCGGGAAGTTATTGTTTTCACCCCGTTTTACAAAAATCGAGTTTTCATTAGATCTCGACGTTTGAAGGTCACAGGAAGCTTCCCTGACTATCCGCGCGAGGTTGTCACTATGTCTGTATGTATGTGTGTGTGTGTGTGTGTGTCTTTTTTTTTTCTAAAGAGGTACGAAAAAAGATCTTCAAAAGACACCGCTATCGTTAACTCTGCCGCCCATCTTACGGCAGATATCGATAGTCGGTAGTGTGGAGATTTTTACCAACTAAAAAAAACATTCCTCTTCCCCTCTCCCCTAGATGGTACGGGGAGGACTGGATTGGAACCGCGTTAGCATTACTTCAATCCACCCGTGCTGCGTCTCACGACGCCTACTCCTGGCTACTGGTCTCTTTCTGCGATTTTGTCTTTCAGGAGCTGCTGTGCATAAGCTGCAACAGCCGACCAGTTTTCTTCTTGTTTGATCATATAGGTCACCAGGCTTGAGGGCGAGAGCCTGGTGCCTATGATCGCTTCGGTGCTTGTTCTGTAGTCCTTTCATCGCGCACACTCAAAGAATGTGTGTTCGGCGTCGTCGATTATATCCGGGCAGTATTTGCATGTTGGTATGTTGTGTAAACCCATCTTGAAGAGATAGGCGTTGTACTACCC